TGCCAACTCTGAGCTTTCAGCAGGGGACCGGGTAGGAGACAATGTGAAGGAATTGGAGGCACTGTCAGCCATCCAATCTACTATCGCCTATTCTTGTTCTGGCCTCACCATTTGTAGAGAGGCATTCGGGCCTACCATATAACACTGAAGGTTCTGTCGCGTTCTCGCACCTGAGGTAGGTGTTCCATTTGTGCATGTAGCTGGCACAGATCGACCACGTCCTATCCTTACAACAGGAGCTCCACCAACACCAGCAGCACCACGACCAGGGCCACGTCCCGTATTTGACGCTCTCCTCATTCTTTGCGTTCCCCCACCAAACTAACAGATGGTTTATGTCAGACGACAATGTAACCGCCAATAGTCAACAATTTTTATTTATTTTAATTTTTTAGTTTATTGGACTACAAGAAATGCACCGCAGGCCACACATGTACTATTTAGCACCAAAACTATTTGAATTTGTGAAAGTGCGATGTTACCACAGTATTTGACGGTTTTTTTTGACTCTCAGATATGAAGTGCACCGCAGGCCGCAAATGTACTATTTAGCACCCAAAAAATTTGAATTTTTAAAACTGTGCTGTAATCACAGTATTTGACGGTTCTATTTGACTCTCAGATATGAAGTGCAAGCCCCAAATGTACTATTTAGCACCAAAACAATTTGGATTGTTTAAAACTGCACTGTGACCACAGCATTTGACTGTTCTATTTGAATCTGATATGAAGTGCATGCCCCAAACGTACTATTTAGCACCAAAACAATTTGAATTAGGCAAACTGCAATGTCACAGCAGTATTTGATAAAGTGCAGGCCCCAAATGTACTATTTAGCATCAAAACAATTTGAATTTTTAAAACTGATATGTCACAGCAGTATTTGACAGTTCTATTTGACTCTCAGATATGAAGTGCACACACCAAATGTACTATTTAGCACCTAAACAATTAGAATTTTTAAAACTGCGCTGTAACCACAGTATTTGACTCTCGGGTATGAAGTGCACCGCAGGCCGCAAATGTACTATTTAGCACCCAAAAAAATATATATAGAGGCTGGGTCACATGCTGCACTGGCCAATCACAGCCATGCCATTAGTAGGCATAGCTGTGATGGCTTCTAAGGACACACGAGTCAAACGCTTGTTGATTGGCTGCCCTGCAGCCTTTCAAAACGTGCCATTAAATTGCCAAACACCAAACTCCAACCCGAACATACATTGATATGTCCGTGTTCGGGTCCGCGGTCCAAAAACCATAATGTTCGGTACCAACCCGAACTATACAGTTTGGGTTCACTCAACTCTACTTACAGCTCATGAAAACCCCAAATCCACAATCTCAGTAAATTAGAATATTGTGAAAAGGTGCAATATTTTAGGCTCACAGCGTCCCACTCTAATCAGCTAAGTAAGCCAGAACACATGCAAAGGATTTCTGAGCCTTTAAATGGTCTCTCAGTCTGGTTCAGTAGGAATCACAATCATGGGAAAGACTGCTGACCTGACAGTATTGCAGACACCGTCCATAAGGAGTGAAAGCCTCAAAAGGTAATTGCGAAGGAAGTTGGATGTTCCCAAAGTGCTGTATCAAAGCTCATTAATAGAAAGTTATGTGGAGGGGAAAAGTGTGGAAGGAAAAGGTGCACAAGCAGCAAGGATGACCGCAGCCTGGAGAGGATTGTCAGGAGAAGGCCATTCAAAATTGTTGGGGACTTTCACAAGGAGTGGACTGAGGCTGGAGTCAGTGCATCAAGAGCCACCACACACAGACGGATCCTGGACATGGGCTTCAGATGTCGTATTCCTCTTGTCAAGCCGCTCCTGAACAACAAATAACGTCAGAAGCGTCTTACCTGGGCTAAAGAAAAAGACCTGGTCTGTTGCTCAGTGATCCAAAGTGCTCTTTTCTAATGAGAGCAACTTTTGCATCTCATTTGGAAACCAGGGACCCAGAGTCTGGAAGAAGAATGGAGAGGCACACACCGCAAGATGCTTGAAGTCCAGTGTGAAGTTTCCACAGTCTGTGTTTATTTTGGAGCCATGTCATCTGCTGGTGTTGGTCCACTGTGCTTCATTAAGTCCAGGGTCAATGCAGCTGTCTACCAGGAGATTCTGGAGCACTTCATGCTTCCTTCCGCAGACGAGCTTTATGGGGATGCTGACTTCATTTTTCAGCTTCACTGCCCACACTGACAAAAGAACCAAAGCCTGGTTCAATGACCGTGGGAATACTGTGCTTGATTGGCCAGCAAACTTGCCTGACCTGAACTCCATAGAGAATCTATGGGGCATTGCCAAGAGAAAGATGAGAGACATGAGACCAAACAATGCAGAAGAGCTGAAGGCTGCTATTGAAGCATCCTGGTCTTCCATAACACCTCAGCAGTGCCACAGGCTGATAGCTTCCATGCCACGCCGCATTGAGGCGCTTATTGCTGCAAAAGGGGCCTAAACCAAGTACTGAGTCCATACGCATGCTTATACTTTTCAGAGGTCCGATATTGTTCTATGTACATTCCTTGTTTTATTGATTGCATGTAATATTCTAATTTATTGAGATTGTGGATTTGGGGTTTTCATGAGCTGTAAGCCATAATCATTGCACTTATGACAAATCACGACTTGAACTATCTTGCTTTGCACGTAATGCGTCTATCTCAAATATTAGTTTCCCCTTTTCCATTGCATTACTGAAATAAATGAACTTTTGCACGATATTCTAATTTTTCGAGTATCACCTGTATTTTTGCATATTTATAGACTTTGAGTGTGTTGTTTATGTAATATAACACAATCTCCTTCTTGCAATCCTATTTGTGTATATTTGCATATTATGGTAATGCAGACACAATGTTATAATTTTTTTTCCATTTATTTATTCTTCTTTCATTTTCTTTTCTTTTTTTTTTTTTTTTTTTAACAGAAAAAACACGACCATACATAGACATAAAATTCACAGTGTCCAGGAGCTTATACTAATACTGACATAAATCCATATATTATTCAAACAATCACAAAAATTGGATTACTTAATAATAATAATATTATTCAAAAAGAGTCCAAATAGTGACTTCTGCACCAAATTAGTCCAAAACAGAAAGAGAATACAATGTATCATAGAAACCTCTAACTTGCAAAGATATCCTTTGCAAGATTAGATGAGGTTGGTATGAATTTGATTTACATTCATATGAGAAGGTCTTAGTATATGAAAAAATAGAAAACGGAAAAGGACAACAATAAAAATAATAAGAATGAGATCAGGCTTTTTTATTGTTGTCCTTTTCCGTTTTCTATTTTGATGTTAAATAGTACATTTGGGGCCTGCACTTCATATCAAATACTGATGACACATTGCAGTTTGCCTAATTCAAATTGTTTTGGTGCTAAATAGTACGTTTGGGGCATGCACTTCATATCTCATGTGATTGGCCAGTGCAGCATGTGACCCAGCCTCTATATATAAGCTGGAGTCATGTAGCGCCGCATGTCACATGAGCTCTAATTAGTGTAGGAAGAGGATGCTGACGCTTTCAGGGACAGATTAGGAAAGAATTATGCAAACTAGTACATTAGTGGGGTGCACTTCATATGTGAGCCAAATAGAAGCGTCAAATACTGCTGTCACATTGCAGTTTTAAAACTTAAAATTTTCTGGGTGCTAAAAAGTACATTAGTGGGGTGCACTTCATATCTGAGAGTCAAATAGAAGCGTCAAATCGTGTGCTTACAGCGCAGTTGTAAAAATTCTAATTGTTTTGCTGCTAATCTGCTAAATAGTACATTTTGGGCATGCTCTTCATATCTGAGAGTCAAATAGAAGCGTCAAATAGTGCGCTTACAGCGCAGTTGTAAAAATTCTAATTGTTTTGCTGCTAAACAGTACATTTTAGGCATGCTCTTCATATCTGACAGTCAAATAGAAGCGTCAAATAGTGCGCTTACAGCACAGTTGTAAAAGTTATAATTGTTTTGGAGCTAAACTGCTAAATAGTACATTTTGGGGCGTGCACTTCATATCTGAGAGTCAAATAGAAGCGTCTGATCGAGTGCTTACAGCACACAGGTAAACATTCTTATTTTCTGGGTGTTAATCTGCTAAATAGTACATTTGCGGCCTGCGGTGCACTTCATATCTGAGAGTCAAAAAGAAGCATCAAATAGTGCACTTATTGTGCAGTTGTAAACATTCTAATTGTTTTGCTGCTAATCTGCTGCTTACATTGGAGTTTTAAAGAGTAAATTTTTTATAATTTTTTGCAAAAAATTTTTTGGGTGCTAAATAGTCTATTTGGGGTGTTCACTTCATATCTGAGCGTCAAATCGAAGCGTAACTTTGATTCAAATTTACTACATCGGACACTGGTAATATTGTTTCACACCTACAACACTTGTTATACAGATCTAAGTGATAGAAAACAAATTGATATTTTCTACACTAGAAACTGCCATATAACCAACTGCTATATTTAAACCAGTGATCAATAGCAAAGAGGTACTTCAACAATATTGTAATTCTGGGGCAATACCCTCACAAGTCAAACTGAGAGGTCAGTTTATAGGGAAAACTGTTGCCTGGATACAATTCTAAAACAATTTCCAAATGTTCTTTGCAGACTTTACATGCTGGAAAAACACAGGTGCCAACTGCTGTGGCTGGATACCAGAAGCCATCACCAGGCTGATCTGCAACTTGGAACTGGATGTGACATTCACTGTAGCGGCTGTGCGCGCTTTTGGCGTTGTCACCTTGCTGCTGCTCGCCTGTCTGCGCTGCAGCGTAACTTCGGCCTTTCCGCTCACCACCTCATGAGACTGTGCAAGCAGCAGGCGATAGTGCAGTTCAGCGGCAGCACGCACAGCGGCTCAGACTTCCCTCCAATTGATCAGAGTTAAAGAATTTCAAGTGGACTCATTACAATTACAGGGCCTCTAAAGAGTCCTGTATTGTTATTTGTCGTCACTACCTTCCCGCGTCGGGAGTGGATCATTTGCTGCCTTCCTTGCATGTGGTAGGCATTTCTCAGGGTCCCTGTATGGAATGGAACCCTGATTCCCTGTTACCCGTGGTCACCATGGTAGGCGCAGAAACTGGCATCGAAAGTTTATATGGATGACATCTGCAAGTCGCCGTCACGGGGATGTGCGATTGGCCCGAGGTTCTCTAGAGTCAACAAAGTGCCTGCGCAACTATAATGTCAACAGCTACTCTGCGGAACAGAGTTGTAGATAGATAGACAGACAGACAGACAGACAAAAAACAGTGTTGGCTACCTCATCCTCCTCCTCCACTGCTGCTTCCACCTCCACGGCCACAGTTACCGCCTCCTCAACCTATGGGTCACTTAGTATAAACTAGGTACACATTAGCAGAGGCTTGTAAAGGCCTTTTCTCCATGCATTAGGACTGCAAGAAATGCACCGCAGGCCGCAAATGTTTCTTTTTTTTGTATGTTACATTATTTTGTGGGGTACCACAATTAAAAAAACAGTGTTGCCTACCTAATCTTCCTCCTCCACCACCACCACCACGGTCACCGCCTCCTCAACCTATGGGTCACTTAGTATAAACTATGTACACAATAGCAGAAGCTTGTGAAGGCCTTTTCTCCATGTATCAGAAGTTGAGCATTTCTCCATGCATCAGGACTGCAAGAAATGCACCGCAGGCCGCAAATGTTTCTTTTTTTTATATGTCCCAATATTTTGTGGGCTACCACAATTAAAATATATATATTATATATATATATATTAAAAACAGTGTTGGCTACCTCATCCTCCTCCTCCACCGCTGCTTCCACCTACACCGCCACGGTCACCGCCTCCTCAACCTATAGGTCACTTAGTATAAACTATGTACACAATAGCAGAGGCTTGTGAAGGCTTTTTCTCCATGCATCAGGATTTGAGCTCAGTTTGAACAATGAAAGAGAATACCCTGCACTCTCTCAAATGGATAATTCTGTTGATTTTCCTGACAGCCATGCTTTAGATTTTGATTTATGTTCTTCCAAAGCTAAAATCAAAGATTCCATCTAGTGCTATTTTATGGCTCAGCTGTATTTTGAATTTTTATGTTATTTTAAGTGATTTCCCTATCCACATTTGTTTGCAGGGTACTTGTCCTACTCTTACCCCCATTTTACTTGCTTTGCAGCTCTCTAGCTCTTTCCAGGAGGTTTTTAGAGGCATTTTTGTGGTGAAAAGTTCGGGTCCCCATTGACTTCAATGGGGTTCGGGGTCAAGTTCGGGGTCAAGTTTGAGCCCGAACCTGGACTTTTTTTCAAAGTTTGGCTGGACCCGAACATCCAGGTGTCCACTCAACTCTACTCTGCAGCACAGACTTTCACCAGGGAAGGACGTCTACAAAGGCAGACACCCCTCTGACAACCTGTGTGGCCATTACAACTCCAATAAACACTGTGGGGAAATTAACATCGCCACCTGTACTTGGAGAGGCCTGCTTGCCAGCCTCTTGCCCCGGGATTATGGGCCCTGCAAAAAGACATGTGAAAAAACAAACCACTGAACCGATCTGGGTGATTTATGGATATGTTGCTCACCCAGATCAGGGCTATCCGAGGATGTGACTCTTGTGGGGTTTCCATGGATCTTGGGGATACTTTTGGGGTGTCCCCCTCCCCCTTTTTCCTGTCCTATTGTTTCCCCAACAGGGCGTTGTCCCAGGGACACTGCGAGATCAGTTTAATCTAGCTGCTCTGTCCCTCCTCAATCTCCCATCAGCCCTTGCTATTGTCTGACCCCACCCTTCCTTGTACTATAGTAATCTATGTAACCTATTGTATGTAAATGAGGCTGTTTAAATGTTTGTATAAATTGTAAGTAGTGATGTCGCGAACATGACATTTTCGGTTCGCGAATGCGAACTTCCGCAAATGTTCGCGAACCGGGCGAACCCCGCGAACCGCCATAGACTTCAATGGGCAGGCGAATTTTAAAACACACAGGGACTCTTTCTGGTTGAAGGGTACTCTCCTACTCCCCCCAGCCCCCACCTCTGGGCGGCGGCCATAAAGATAATAAGGGGGGGGACCTATTGTCCCCCCGGCCCCCACCCCTGAGCGGTGGGTGGGGGCCCTAAAATGAACAATAAGGGGGGACCTATTGTCCCCCCCCAGCCCCAACCCTGAGCGGTGGGTGGGGGCCCTAATAACAAAAAGGGGGACACCTATTGTCGTCCCCCGACCCCCACCCCTGAGCGGTGGGTGGGGGCCCTAATAACAATAAGGGGGGGACCTATTGTCGTCCCCCGACCCCCACCCCTGAGTGGTGGGTGGGGGCCCTAATAACAATAAGGGGGGGACCTATTGTCCCCCCGACCCCCACCCCTGAGCGGTGGGTGGGGGCCCTAATAACAATAATAATAATAATAATAATAATAATAATAATAATAATAACACCCTGAGCGGTGGGTGGGGGCCATATTGATAATGAGGGGGGGGACCTACTGTCCACCCCCCGTCCGGCCCCCACCCCTGGGTGGCGGGTGGGGGCCATAAAGATAATGAAGGGGGGGACCTACTGTCCATCCCCCCTCCGGCCCCCACCCCTGGGCGGCAGGTGGGGGGACCTACTGTCCTCCCCCCCCGGCCCCCACCCCTGGGCTGCAGGTGGGGGCCCTAAGTAAATTTCCCCCCCCCAAGGTGACTAGGGGTCCCCAAGCCCCTAGTCACCCACCCCCCCCAAATAAAAAGTCCCTACCTACCCCCCTCACCCTAAAAAATAGTGAGGGGGGAATAAAATAACTAACCTGTAAAATAAAAGTAAACTTACCATTCAACGTCTTCTTTTTTCTCAAATCTTTTTTCAGCCCCAAAAAAGGCCAAATAAAAAACCGTCGAATTGAAAATAAAATAAAAATCCCGAGCGCAAAAAAAAAAACCTGACGAAAAAGAAAAAACCCGAGCGCAAAAAAAGAATCCATCTTCACCCATGGAGGGCTCCGCGCAGACTGAGCTCTGCAGGGCGGGGGAAGGCTTATAAAGCCTTGCCACGCCCTGCAATTAGGCTAAGAACACTCTGATTGGTGGGTTTAAGCCAATCAGAGTGCTCTGTGTCATTTTACACAGCGTGGGAAAGTTCTTTGGAATTTTCCCACGCTGTGTAAAATGATTTTAATAGACATGCCCCCTACTCGCGGTATTTTTACTTAGTATTAGTAAATTAATAGTGGGCGGACCGAACATCGCATATGTTCGCCAACCGTGGCGAACGCGAACACACTATGTTCGCCAGGAACTATTCGCCAGCGAACCGTTCGGGACATCACTAATTGTAAGTGCTGGCTTGCAATAAACAGAACTACTTGACCCTTTCTTGAAGCCTTGGCTCATGCTTGGGGGATGAGATAACTACACTCTTGTGGATTGCTATATCATAATACTCCCCTGAGTATAAGCTCCTGCAAAAGCTTATTCCTGGTTCCTGCTCTCTGGATTTAGGAGAGATTCACCCACTGGAAGCTGGATCCTGGCCTTGGATCCAGGGTGGGTGAGAGACGGTGAGACCCCGGCGCAGCTGCATCGCTGGAAGTGGGGTCTGCAGTGTGGATGTTGTCGGTTGGAGTGCTTGGAGTCCTCGGCAAGCACTAGGAGCATCGATTGGCGGAGGTACTCGGTCGGAGTGCCAGCGGCCCGTCACATTTGGTGACAGCGGTGGGATGGAATCCTAGTGCGAGGACCAGCAGCTCGGAGACACCGTAACGTGTGGAGTTACGGATTTATAATTGAGGGCAACGTTAGCACTTGTGCAGTGCCTATGTCTATAGAGGAACTCGAGAGAATGGAGCGACCTAGCGACCGTGCAGCGTCCCCATGTGAAGAGGAGTTTCTCTGGAGATTGCAGCAACACTTGGCCCAACAGGATGGGCCTCTATCAGAAGAGGGCATACTGGACTGGAGAGATAACTCGAATGGAGCTGTGGTATGAGGCCTTAGAGGAGGTACAGCAGCGTCAGAGAGAGAGAGCCTTCCCAGTGAAGAACAATGGTTCCAGGTACTCATGGCCCTGCGGAGACCTTTCCTAGGGGAGCAACCCTTGGATGAATGGGTGATGGAACTCTGGTTTTTAATTTGGAAAGAGTTGTGGCTGGATGCAGCTTACCGGGCATTAAAGTGGTACTCCACCCAGTGCAACCCCTGGATGACTAACCACTATCTGCCGGAGGTAGAGGATTATAATGTGGGAGGCCTTTGAGGAGGGTGATGACTTAGGATGCCCCACAGAATGTCAGTTCTGGGACATCCACAACATCAGGGAAACCCTGCTGGATCTTCCCCGAGTGGACGACCTGAGGCCAGACCTGATTCATCTAGTCACAATGGAGTGGGAGCTGGAGCAGAGCTACCAACATCTGTTCAGCTTAGCACAGCAAGCAAGTATACTACCAGGAGTAGGGACAGCCGGTCCTGCTCCCCAGCGGCAATATACTTTGAAGGGAGAGGAGACAACCAGTCTCTCTCCACAGCTGCAGCCTGAGTTCCAGGAGGAGGTGATGGTCGATCCCTCCACCTTATAGCAACCAGCGTCCTGGGGAGGGGAGGCAACCGGCCTCCCTCTCCCCCACCAGCCAGAGGTACCTGAGGTAGTGGACCTCATAGACTGGTCCTGGGAGAAGCCCCAAATGGCAGATGGAGATGGGACCGAGGTCTCTCTACTGGCCCTACAGCCCAGATCCCCAGCGGCAGTGCATCTCACCAGGAGAGGAGACAACCGGTCTCCCTCCCCAGTGGCGGCTTGAGTTCCAGGAGGAGGTGACCAGCAACCAGCGTCCTGGGGAGTGGGGCAACTGGCCTCCCTCTCCCACCACAGCCAGAGATACCGGGAGAGGGGGAGAATAACCCTAACCACACTGGCGCAGATGGGACTGCGGTCTCTGTGCCAGTCCTACGGAGATGCTGGACGGGCAGTCGAGATCCCCAACCTTCCCCGCAGGGATGCCAGGAGGAGGAAGTAAGCAAGTCTCCCCCTCCCCAGCTACATCCCGACTGGGTCCTGGGGGCAGTGGATGAGCCTGCGATACCCACTGACCCCCTCCCAGCAGAAGAGCTGGCACCTGAGCAGAGCTCCGCTGGCCTCTGCGTTACCCTTGTACCTTGCTCAGAGCCTTAAACCCTGCAGGCTATCCCAGTGGAAGAGCTGGCACCTGGGCAGAGTACCCCTGGCCTCTGCCCCCCAAGTAGCCCCAGCTGTTTGCTTAGCTGCACCAGGGAGACC